TCTATACCACCACTATTACCATGACTTCTACCACCAGTAGTGTCAGTCTTTTAGATTAGACAATTATAAAAGTCACCTTTCTTGATGCTAGCAAAGATGCGAGGACACATAATGCTGGTGTTCCAAACAGCTTGAGGCGCATGATTATAACAGCCATCATGATAAAAGCAATAGCTTGTAATACGTGGTAGAAATACTAGGGTACGAATGAAAAACGCAGTGATTAGTAAAATGTCTCCACTACAATGACTTAGCGTGTGCGTCGTGGCGCAAATCTATTTTATTGCCAAAGATAATCCTTGTAATTATAATGTTACAATATATACTTATATACTAACTTTATTGAAAATAATACAAGCAATCTGAATACCGCTAATTGCTGCTATTATTCGTAATGTGATTGATACTGCACTGATTTTAGTTTCCATATTTGTTTGTTTTATTTTCTTTATGTTAAAGCTAACTCATCTTACCTCTGCATTTGGTTTTGGATTTGGCTGTACACTAGAGGAAAGATACCATTAATTAGACAATTAGACATTTTGAATACTTGGATCTTTTGCATGGTCAAGGTAGACAATAAACCAGAAAGATCACTGCCAAGGGGTAACTAATAATAAGTGCTTGTTCCCAGGTACTGCACAATTGTTGCGTCTAACTAGAGTATAATTCGCACGAATTCCCATGAAAATGACATCACAATGCACTCCACAGCTCAAAGTACAAAAATTGTGACATCTGTCGAACCAATCAGGGATTGCGCGATTAAACTCAACCACATGACGACACAACTTGCTCCGTACCGTACCTTTTCATAGCCACACAAAATCGTTATAATATTGATTGGATGAGCAGTGACTTCATCCACTGTGATTGGTTCGAAAGATGCCGTCAATTCCGTATCGTGATGGTGTCGGTGCAGTTTGTTGCGCCGTTTCATAGTCACACGAAAACTACTCTATCTGCTCTATGAAAACCACGCATATTTTTATGTAGGAGTGGGAAACGCAAGGTACTAACATATAACATGTACAACGTATAGTATGACGTAACACTGGAATGGCTTCCAATATATAACATGTACACCGTATAGTATAACACAACACTGAAATGCCTTCCCGTAAGAATGATTATTGTACAAGTGGGAAACGTAAGGTACTATCAAAAGAACGTACACCATAGTATAACATATCATCCTTTCCCACTTATATAAAATTGCTGGGTTTTCTTTTTAATATCTTACTCATTCGGTGACTCTTCTTCCTTCTCTTCTTTTGTCTCGGACTTTGTACCAGTACCAAACCAAAACTTCCACTCATCGATAGCAATCTACAGTGTGCAATAAAACCTGCATGAAATATCATTTGGAGTGCCTACATAGAACTTTTACTGTAAGTCACACGCTGCGTCGACTGAAGAAATAGGTATGGGTTCTACTTTTCCGACGTGGTTTCGCATGGGTACCGGTGGTAATATATTGACAGTATAGAAACTGTAGTATAGAAATTATTTTACCTTGCTTAAAACTACTGCAAGAGAAAGTATGGCGGCGGGCAGAAGCAGTGTCTTGGACAGTTTTGTGAACGTCTGAAAAAGGAGCATAAAGGTGTAAGGACATTAATACATAAATTCTTGAACTTCCTCTTGCACCTTCGAGAAGATGAGTGTTTAAAAAAGGAAAAAAAGGTTCATAATGGCTGTATTAATATCAAGAATAACAAACAAGTTTAGCAAAGGAGACGTGGCCTCTGGACGACGGCGCAAGATCTTTCATTGTGCGTGCCGTCGTCTTCATCTCATCAGTCAACGTGAAAACACTACAAATGACATCATGTGATGCCTAAAACAGCAAAATAATTAACACTAAAGGAAGTTTAAAAAGCGTTTATTTCCCTACCTCTCGTTCAATAAAATCAAACTCAGGAGCGCACGTATAAAGTGATGTATGAAAATCTTGATAGTTGGAGAACTTTGACTTGAGAATACTAACAATATGCGCCTAAATGAAATAAAGGTAGTTAAAGTGAAGTACATGATAGAGTGATTTCATAACAGGGAGCACTCTCATTCATAATGGCAGACCTTGTGTGGTTTTGGAGTGGGGAAGGAAGTTTTGTTGAGGGTAATATGAGGAGTAACTGCAAACCCTCCGTCCCCTCCAGGAAATCCTACATAAATGCATAGTGTTTTGGGGGAGGGGAGGGGAGAAAAGGGAAAGAGATTTGTTGAGGGTATTATATTACGAAGAGTGATCTTAAACCCCCCTCCCCCTCCAGGAAATCCTACATAAATTCATAGATTTATATTATAGTTATAAGAATGGACTTACGTCATCCTCAATGCCCAATGATTTTGCGATTGAGATCTTTATTGAAAAGGTACCTACTACGAATATTACTGCTTGCACGAGCTGTAGATCAAACCAAATAATATTTCACCATTAAAAATGACACATTGTAATAATGCACACGAAGACAATAAAGAAAGAATGAAAAATCAAACAATAATACCCACCCAAATGCAAATCTGGTTTGGCAGCTTACTTATGGGTGTTTCAAGTTTGGCAATGACCTGACATTAGACAACAAACATTATTTTGATTATACAAAATAAAACTGTTATGAAGAATAAATGATGAGAAACAGATGAAGGTAAGTGGTGACGACGTAGGGTAAAGTAAAAATCAGGGGTAATTATGTATCTACAACAATATTTGTTTCTGATTGGTTGATTGGCTGTCAATTTTTTCTTGATTAATCCACACAATTAATTACCCAAAGATCTTGTCGATTTATATATCTTATTAAATAAAAGGGTCTTTCTGTATGTGGTAATAATAGGAAATACCATGCACCCAGCGAGAGACCATGGTCTCTTGATGCACCTTTATTTTTGAAGAATTAATGCAGAAATATGCCACTTGTATTTTGCTATGCACTTGTGGTATTTCATTAAGCCCCTTTTATGAAATACATATGGCATAATTCATCACTTCTTTTCAAACGGTTGTATTTCCAATATTAACAGCATATATCTAGCATTTTTATTATGTTGGTCCTTTAGTGTCCAGAGTTATACAACTATAATCACATAGGACTAAGGTAGTTATTTGCTGGCTACATGAATATTGGTGTAATAAAAAGTAGCAGGCAAAACTAGCTTGGGCTTCCTGTGACAAAACAATAGCATGACCACAGATACAGAACATTACAGAACATGATTCTCACCAGTGTTGAGATTAAGGCTGACAAGAAGAATGAGCTGAAACAAGATAAGATAGAAATAAAACAATGAAATACCATATACCATACCACACGCCACGCCACGCCACGCCACGCCACGCCACGCCAGGCCACGCCAGGCCAGGCCACGCCACGCCAATCCACACCACACAGCACCACACCGCACCGCACCACACCACACCACACCACACCACACCACACCACACCACACCACACCACACCCCTATCAATTGCCCAAAAGGCCTTGGTTGCCCTTATTATCAAGAACTTATTGAAATAGTCTTTTTGTTTAGTTTTTTCTTAATGTTACAGTCAAGTTTGAGTTTGGTCATTGCAATTAACGTTTTATAACAAAAAAATGCTTGCAATAATAATTACCTTAGAAGCATAGAATTACCAAATTGGAAAACAAAATTGACAGCATGTGCAATCTAAAAATGAAAATAAAATTATTGTCTGAGATTACTACTTTAGGCTTACTTTATAAAGAGACAATATTCTACTATTATATAGAAGTGGAGAAGTGGAAACACTGTGCAACATTGCAAGCAATGTTGCAGGCAAGGTTGCTAAAGTAGGATCGTTTTCTACTTCAAAATGACAAAATGCATTGTGTGACATGGCTTGCAACACTGATTGCCTGTTACATTGCATGCAATGTTGCACCATGTGGTGTTAGCTTGTAAATAGCTAGTTCAACAGGTGCGACATAAGGTACCTCCTACACAGGTTAAATAAAGTGGGGGATAGGGCCTCGGTGTTGCAGATCTTAACACTTAGGCCAGTGGACTAAGGACTAGGTTCGGCTAAAACCTAACTCCCACACAGATGCTTTTGACTACCTATAATTGCAGCACTAACTAGGGGATGCTTATACATATAAGCATCCCTATATTGTGCCAAGAAAGAGAACAACACATCAAACAAACTGCTTTCTCCACAGTAATACTAGCTGTACTTAATAAGCCTATTATAATTATGGTCAACTAGGTCATCCTTGCATCCACCCTTGACTTACTGCAAGTCCATAAAGAATGATACAAAGCTTGTGTGATGTCAGGAACCTCAAGGCATAAAGTCCAAACAGGGCACAAGTCTGTCAAATGCAAAATCAAAGAGTACTTTATTACACACACTCCAGTTATGAATCCAGTTTATCACTTGATAATAAAACAGTGATCGTTATTAGAACTTGATCATGTTTTTACCTGAGTTAGGAGAACGAATTGTGCAAACTGGGGATCAAATAAGCAAAATAATATATTAATGGTAATTTTATGCTTTATGACACTCTGCTGACACATTGTTGGTTGACCCTCAGCCAACTTAAAAACTTATTTGCACCTCACAGACAAGTACTATAAGAAATTCATTTTTTCATCCATATCAAATCATACGACATATTCTCAAGCATTTTTTACTGATCAACAATAAACAAAGAAATAATACTCAAGGGAATATTACTTATGGTCTGAAATGAGAAACCTGTGAAAATTGTACAATTTTAGGGCTTTACCTGCCAAGGTATCATGAATGTGATGGTAGTAACAGCAACAAGTAATATATTCCACCAATTTACTGTAACTGATCTGAGAAATGATAAAAACAAGAATTCAATTAATTATATCAATGCCGTATTAAATAATTCACATGGTATTCAAGATATGTTTTATCATATGACCCTATGTACCCGGGTGCGCTCTTTAAAAAACCTTCAGGAAAATGGTGTGAGCAGGGCCGTACAGCTTTATTTTATTATTTTTCTTTTCGTGAGGGTCATATGATAAAATGCTTATTGACTGAGTTAGGTCGGGCCTTACGGGAAAATATTTGGCTCATGGCATCACCTCAAGCCAAATATTTTCCCGTAGGGCCCTCCCACTCAGTCAATAAGTAGATATTATGTCAACTCACTTGATTGTGTATGTGACAACCAGAAGCTGTGCTACTAGGAAAGGGTAAGAAAAGCTTTCTCTTAATGGTGGTGTCCACATGACTCTTGTTGCCTGTTGAATGGAAAATATTTTTAAAGTATAAAAAGGAATGTATAATTATACATTTACGATGCAATCAGTGTTCTTTCTTCAATGGGTTCCAACTGTATGTGTAACAGGGTAATAGTCCCCTTCACAAATCCCTGCACTATCTTGAAATGTTGCTGTGCCTTTGTATTCAAGCAAGACAAACGGTGAGCTTGCAATGATAGAGACATGCGAATAATTGTCCAAGGTGTTAATAAAAAGGTCATTATCTTTGCAAGCTCATAGTAGTCGTTTCTCTTGAATACAAAGGCATGGCTACCTTTCAAGATGGCACAGGGAACTGTGAAAGGGACTATTGTGTACATGTACTTCATGCCAACGACACATCAATTAACCCAGGATCAACTGGTTGTTGCTCATGTAACAGCTTGGATGAATATGCCATATTTTATCCAATTCTGTACTTTAGACAACTTATGCATCATGTGCTGAATACATCTACTGAACTACTAAGTGGAACAGTTAGGGGGAAAGGTGGATAAGGATGAATATGATGCTCATGGTGCTTTTAGGCAATGTTACACAAGACAATTTGCAACAACAATTTTGACAGTCAAAACCTTGCAACTCAAGATGATGAATTTTTCATAGCGTTGTGTGACAAATCATCACCATAAATCTTCTCATGTAAGATCGCCTTTATGATTCTGATATTTGAGGTAGGTGTTTCTTACTTCACCATGGTTGTAAAAGTAGCACAGTGTTCCAAGAATGCCTCCAAGAATGCTACCACTATAAACAAGAAAACAAACAAGGCATAAAATTAAATGTTATATTATCAAGGTTTGTTATTTTATAAGTTAGGCAGGGAGGATCCAGGGTGGGGTGGGGCAAAGGGGGGCTATGGCTCCCCCCCCGCCTTTAACCATAAAAAGAAAGCATATTTTGAAATATTTTTCAAAGTTCTGTAGTGTCATTTGCAAAATTTGGTCAAGCCCCCCTGTTAGTTTCTCACCTTAGATAATAACATAGAATGAAGAAGCAAGCCATCATGAGACCACTCAAAGAAAAGATAAAAAACACGTAGAAAAATGACAATTCTCCAAGACCTGTGCAAAAGAAGAAATCTAGATCAATGGTAAGAAAAGTAATAGACTTAAAGTAACGCAACCAACCAGACTGTGATTTGTAAATGTTTTAGATCTTAGATTTTGAGAGTTGACAACAGCCACAATGCAGCGAGCATGAAAAAAATTATTCCTTTAAATGTAGCTTAAAATAATTTCAATTGGAAAATTGAATTCAAGGGAATGAGATTAAAATAAATATGTTACTGGACCTAAATCACCCCACTCAGTCAGCTCCATGCCAATAGCTGGCTGATAGGCATTTGAGTGCTGTGTTTTGCTAGCGTATTACCTAGCAGCAGTAGCTGCAGTAGTGTTTGGATAACCAATAAGATTTCCAATGGATGAAGTGATAAAAATTATTAATAGACTGTAAAAGGCCAGCCACTGTTGATCAGCATGACCAATCAATGGACAATAGACCTTATTCGTTGTGTGACAAGGTTTTCGGAATTCAGTGTGACAAACCTCCAGGGGATTCATTTTCTTTTGAATTTACTCTTCAAAAAACTCGAAAATGAGTATCCCAAAGGATACGAAAGCAATAACAATGATATCCGGACGAGTTTCAAAACAATAGCTCTTCATTCCCTCAGAGGTTTCTCAAGCTGAATTGGGAAAACATTGGATCACACCACGAATAAGGTCTATTTGGTTTTATAAAGTTATGATATAATAATTAAAAAAGCACTGAATAACAGATCCTGGTGATACACCTCTAGATCTTTTAATTACTATATTTTGCAATAACATACCTTCACAGCTTTGTACAGGGGGTAGGCCTTGTCCTCTATTAACCGTATAACAAACTTTAGTTTGATAATTAAAATAACTGGCTAATTGTTCATAGCAGCGAAACATGAAGCCCAATACTACCTGTAAATAAAAGACCAAAAACTCTCATTGGAATGTCAAATAAAGCAGCTTTTTCTTTACTCCTTTCAGTAATAAAGCACTTAGGAAGTGCCGTAACGACTCTCCTTACACATCTTTCCTGATTACATAACTTCCTGTGTGCTTTATTACTGAACGGAGCACAGAAAAAAGCTGTTTGATTTGTTAAATAAATAGATGTTCTACAAGACAAAATATTATGTACTTATTAACTGAGTGAGTGGGAGGGCCATACGGGAAAATATTCGGCTCTAGGTGATGCCAATAGCCAAATATTTTCCCGTACGGCCCGACAATAAGCATTTTATCATATGACCCTCACGAAAAAAAAATCATGAAATAAAAGAAAGAAAATACCGTTGCAGGTTTCCAGCAGGGCCGTACAGATTTGTATGGCCCTGCTCACTCAAAGCCGTACAGCCTTGCTAAGGCCATTTTCCCGAAGGTTTTTTAAGAGCCTGCGCCTGGGCAGATACAGGTAATATGATAAACACTATTATGTACATATTGGCTTCATGGCAACCATGTTGTAGGACATCTAGAAACAATGTAAATCTCTTACAGAAGTAGGAAATTTCTAATGTTTGACCCACAAAATAGCTGCTGTGAAAGTATCCCTTCCTTTGATAGATTAAATTACAGCGTTTCTCAATCACACAATGCAAATTCATACAATTATTATTTTCTCCTTGTAGCAACAAAATAAGGGTTTTGGTGTACATCAACCAAAGTGGATTTCCATAATATTGTTGGGAAACAAAAAGCTTTCAAGGATCAACACATGCCTTAATGGAATATCATAAAAATGCCTTGATTTATGTCCACCAAAACCTACATCACTGTGAAAGCAAATTGCACGATTTTTTATAACAGAATTTTATTAAAACTAAACTTACTTCTGGATATAAGTTAAATCTTTTAAGAGTGTTGACAGTGTCTGGAAACTCAGTAACATTACAGTGCATGATATCATAAACACCATCAAAAAAATTAGGTGCTTCAACTATTGTCTTGTAATAGGAATAGTATAGGCCCTGGAATAAATAGGAAAATACAATATCATATGTAAACAAATTGCAACTTTAACCACTCAATAAACTTGTCTTCCCTGAATAATTTATTGTAAATAATTAAAAGGTCAATAAAGATCAGTAACCCAGGAGAAGTCTGTAAATGGAATACAAAGTTGTCATTATTTGCATTCAACTTGTATTTTAGTAGAGCCTCATTACTAAATATACAAATTTTAATCTTGAAAAGAATTTTAATGGCAAAAATGTAATATTTTGCTGCGCTATTTCTTGTCATGTTTTCCTTTTGTGTTTTTTTAATTGTTATCATAATCATAATTATCATCATCATCAATGAACAACAATCCCTCTTGTTTTGATTGCTCTTTTTGTATTGAATGTATCATCTGAAATGAGTAATTACATCCTAAACTCCAATTCAATTTATTCATATACTTCAAAATGGTAGGGGGAAAAATGTTTTCTATAAATAAAGAATCTACTCATTTATTACTAAAACGACTAATAGCCAAACAACAAATCACTTAAGGACGGATCATTTATATCTGGTTATTGTACACGTGGCGTCGCTATTTTTAAAAGTCTGGTATCCAATACTACATAACGAGACAGTTTAAATATTGACAAAACAGAATAAAAAAATTAAAGAAAATAAAAGGAATACATAAAAAAATATATATGTATATTCATATATGCTGCAGTTTTTGGAGTAAATCATTAAGTTCTTGACAAAAATATATCACCAAGGAAACTAAAATCTCAAAATCGCGAAAAATTCTGTTTTGTATTTTAAATGCAATTAAATATATGAATTAGAATAACGCTTATAAAATTAACTAAGTTACTTTAAATTAACAATATATCGATCCTGAAAACAGCCAATTCTGACGATAAGTTTTAACTTAGTTTATAAGGAAGAGGTTATTTTAAACTTGCACTTGGAGGACTTTTAATAAAGCTTATATTAGTATTTGCATTGTACTACAAACTGCGCAGTATTTAAACTACTTACCATTTCAGTTCTGAAGGACAGTTCTCTTTCTAACGCAGAAAGATGCGAAAAGAATCGTTCATTTTCGAACATGTGTGAAACGTGCTTGCTGTAATAAAAAATAAAAATGAAAATATCTTACTAAATTAGCATTAAAATCAAAAGTCCTGCAATCTCAACATTTTCATTGAAAAAAACTTACCTATGTAATACTCCGGCGCAAAAAGCTGTGAAGCATATCAACAAAAACAACGATTAGACACTATTATTGTTTATTGTCAATATTTTGTTATTATAATACCAAATAAAATAAGAATATTTTCATATTTTACCGAGAAATATCACCAACATGAAATATCCAACTCCATTGAATGAGCCCAACATTTCTCCTCCTCGAGACTTTGTTCCAGCCTTGGCGCTGGACTTTTTGGAATTTCCAGGGTTTGAAGACTTAGCATGAGGCGTATTGGGTCCTCTTTTCTTCTTTAAAGTCATGTTGAGAATCCTAAAAAAGTTTATAAACAAATAGAACTAAATAACTGCTCCGTACTTTTTAGACCGCCTTTGTTCTTTTTGACCTCTGGATGAGCCTGCAATATGTATCAGCGGTTTATCTATTCAATACTCGGTCATGAAACTGGGTACTAACAATAGAAAATCCAAGATGGCAGATGAAGGAACATCTTCAAAATCTTCACATTTAGTTAAAAAACACCATGAAAAAGCTAAAGCCTGTCACTCTAGACCAAGTTACAGGGATCCAAGGTGGGAGAAGGCTGTTAAGGTAAGTTGTTTTTGTTATTTGTACGTTCGTGATCATGCGTGATGAGGATGTCTTGACAGTGTCAAATCATTTTATTAAATAACATCTTTGATTTATCTAGGTGTATACCATAAATATGGAATCGAAAAATATTTTAGTCCAGGGAGTGCCTTCATTAGGAGTCTCTAAGGATCTTATGGATATCTTTTCTTCATATGGCAACATAGAATCGTAAGTATAGCTTCGGTGCATATCATTGTTTTTGGGCGAAAAGATCGACAATGTAGAAATTTCAAAGGAATACAGAAACGTTTAAGCCACATTAATTTAATGCCATTAAGATGTGAACAGCAAAATCTATATTGTTTGTACAACAGACTCACTTTTCTAAATAGGGGGATTGGATGCCACATTAAAGATATTTATTAACTATATATATTTTCAATATTTACATAGGTTCATATGTATTATATATTTCTTAGGTTTAAAAAGCTAGATGATTACCCCACTGAAGAATTCACAGAAGTCTACCTAATCAAATATGCAAGAATAAACAATGCTAGGTTTGTACATTTTGATTTTGATGTTGCTTTTTAAAACTCATTCATGCAAACAGACCATGCAGGTGATATATCATTGATAGACTATGCAGTTGTTTTTAAATGTTAAACTCATCTTTATTAGATGAGCTTGGCATTAGGTGCTTGTTCGGTGAGATGAGAGGGGCCTGGCACATAAAATCATGGTAATCATGGCAACCCTGTCACAACTCACTGTGCACCTGTCACACTGACGGCCTGGTCAGTGGAATACTGTACTTAACTGTATATACCTACCACAGGGAGGGGGTGTGAGAAAAAACAAATATAGTGTTTAGTGTGGTTGCCAGAGGCTAGCGATAGCAAATATAGTGATGCATATGATTGTTGGCCCAATTTAAGGTCAAGCTAGCATGATCACATGGATAGTATGTGATCAAGTTGACCCATTAGCAATCAATAGCATTGTTCGATATTACAGTGACAACCCATCAAATAGTTTGGCCCTTTTGATGACCAAAGATAATGCTAGCACGATCACCAGAGTAGTGTGTGATTGTAATAGCATGTTTTCAATGTATATAGGTGGCCAAACAGGGCAGATAACAAATGGAAATAGTGGTTATCGTAGGCTATTCATTGCTACTCAGATCAAGTCTAACTTTGCCTAAATTTCATTTAACCACATGATGATCAGATATTTTGTTTAAAATTCTCTTTAATAGGTATGCAAAAAGAAAGATGGATAATAAATCATTTTTTGGAGGTGTGATACATGTCTGTTATGCACCAGAGTTTGAAACGGTAGATGAAACAAGAGAGAAACTACAGGAACGTCAAAGGGTGGTTGCTAGAAAGATAAAAGGTATGATGAAAGTATGAATATTGAATTGAACTTTATCCTATTTTTTAAGCCGTACACCATTTCCACTCATACAGGAATCTAGTAGGATTGAGTGACTCATTACTTATTTTTTTTAATATTAAACTCATCGTTAATGATGAGCTTGGCGTTAGGTGCATATTCGGTGGGATGGGCGGAGCCAGGCACAAATTAGCGGTAACCATGGTCACCCTGTCACCACCCACCGAACACCTGTCACATTGACCGCGACCAGTCAATGGAATACTTACCTCTACTTACCTGTACCAATGGTAGGGATGGCGGGCGGGAAATTAAACTCGTGTTGTAGCGTAATAGCGTCGTATAGCAAGTGCTAGCGATAGATAGCGATGGCGAATAAAGGTTCGCGTGGTTGGCATTAAGCTAGCGTGATCACGTGTGTAGCGTCTTATCGTATTTCGTAATGATAGCTATGATCCATATCTCATACAGGCCACAGAGATCGACTAGAATAGATTGCAACATGCTATAAACAACTTGCTAGCTGAGTCGATCAACGATCGCGTGAGGTAATAAATGCGTTGACAGCGGAGATAGCGGTATGCGTCCGGACAACGCTACTGCGAGATGTCATTGACCTCGAGTCTAACTTAGCCTAAATTACATTTAACCACATTTAATAAATCAATCATTTCTAGAGCTATATGGAAATAACTTGGAACCAAAGACAGTTTCTCCCCAACAGCCAAAGGTCATACCATCATCATCCATGTCCTGTTCTTCAGATGCTGCTAGCCAAAATATTCCTCTAACAAGAATATTTTCATCTGGTACATGTACATCAACAAGAACTACTGAAGTAGCTTCATGCACTACAAATCAAGCAGATGATCTTCTTTGTCAGTCAAATACAAACTACACTGAGTTTCCAAATATACCAATGCCTATTTCGGATATACCACCTCCTTCCATTCCAAATATACCACCTCCTCCCATTCCATTGCACCCTTCCCAATACCCCCCACCACCTCCTCCCTGGGAGTTACCTAGAGTGCCATCAGCGAATGCGACATTACCTCATGGCTTCCAGAATTTGCCAAATATAACCCTAAAGTCTTTACATCAGTGTCCAAGTCAGTTTGATCCCACCAGTCAACCAGACCATCTGAACACTGGGGCTTTATCTGCTTCAATATCTCATCCTTCTACTGGAACTCTAGTATATGGACCATTACCCGCAAGTGAGGATCCTTTGTGTGAACCGTACCATGACCATACAGTCTCAAAACCACATCGACCAACAGTTCCTTATGAACAAAACTTAGGTGCTACCAATATACAAGCTTCTGCCATTGAATGTTCTCAACATAGTGATAATTTGCAGGTAAGTGAAAATGATAGCCTTTATATGTACTTGGAACTTACTAAGTATACACATATTTCAATAAACATTGTCTTGGTGATAGGTCATTCTGTCATGGAAATGGTTTTGTTGAATACAAAGAACATCGAATCAATCTCAACACTAAGGTCCATGTTCTTGACGAGAATAAGAAGCAGAAACATAACTTAGTCATTCAAGCTATTTTGTAGCCTAAAGCCTTTTGCAATGACAACATTTATTGAAATAGGTGTATAGTATGAGATCAATTAATGAAAGCAGTGAATGTGAATAAATGGAATGGAGTGACTGCTTCACAGTTCTTTATTTGAATATGTACATGCCATTAAATTATCTATAATTAACTATAGCTTTATCAAAGACGACATCTCAAAACTTCTGCATAGAAGGCCACAAAAGACGTTGCCCACTGGATATTGCCTTGATGTTGTCTTTCTATGATAAAGCTGTAGTTAGGATAATACATAGAAAGGAAGGTTAAGGTCACGCCGACACTAATGCGTTTTTGAAGCTGTGTCGACTTTGCTAAAGCTGTTGAATACTTTCTGTTCTCAGACCATCGAGGCATCTGTTGATAGGACCGTTCTATCTATTCGTGAAAAACTGAAAAGGGTATGCATTTTTATTGTATGTTACCAAAATTAAGTTAAGTACTTAGAATTAATGATGTATAACTGTGTTCGCAGTTGCGGATCCAGAATTTTAAAGGGGAGGGGTAGGTGTTCCAGGAACGCTATTTCGTGCATTTCCTGTTTTGTTTTGTTTTTTATAGACAAGCCGGCATAATTTTGATAAATTTCATTTTTTGCGCATAAAAAACATGATCGTCTTGACAAAGGTTGGTTCCATGGAACCACCAAACCACCACTGGACCCCTACGGCTTCGATCCATCGTCTTACGCACGGCCGTTGGTTGGGTGCCTTTTTTTCAGTTATATGAAATCTGCAATAAGCGGTTTCATCACTTCTTCTGTAAGTTGGATGTCAGAGTACTAAAACGTTTTCCTGATTAGGTTTCTAGTGACTCGACTCTTCAAGGACCGTCAAGAGAGGTAAGATAAAAATGAAAAGATAGCTTAAATATATAATCATGCGCTGTGATTGGCTTTGGGTGAAAGCGTGTTTATTCGAAAAATTTGTTGCGCGTCACGACTTATTTTTGCTTAGCTGTGTCGTGCCCCGTTGCACCCAACATTTGCATTCATTTGCATTCATTGCACACCGGGGACTAAGTTTTAGGATACTGCGCTTAACACTTATCACCACTGCAAGTACAGCAGTGGCGTAGCTCAACGGAGTCGAAATGAAAGCAATTTTTATGAACCCTATTTATTATCTTTATTTGTGTTCTTATTTAACAGCTTTCCAGGCAAAGAACTGCGAAAAGTCAACCTCAATCAAAGAAACAGAGAAAGAGAATTTAAAAGGATTAAAGTTTCGGCGATGCACAGTGGTTTACCGAATCAAAGTCTTGCGAAGTAAACTGATACGAAAAAATGAAACTCAAGAAATTTCATTCATTTTCCTTCTCAGAATTTCTTTAAAGGTGCTGACACATGGTGCAACATTGCATGCAGCATTGCGTGAAACGGGACTGTTGCAGCGTGTCTACCCCAAACTTGTTGCACGCAACGTTGCATGCAACAAATCTGAAGTCGAATCGCGCTCTACTCTTTGCGCACAGCAAATTTCATCATGTGAACATGGCTGCAACATTTTGAAATTTCCAGCCAGTCAGCTTGCACCAAATTTATAACTGCTGACCATATATCATATATCTGACACAAGCGATGTTGCGTGATTTTGTTGCAATGTGTGTCACCCCGATTCAAATTTGTCGCTTGCAATGTTGCACCGTGTGTCAGCACCTTAAGTCTCAGTCAAGAAATAAAGAGCTCTGAGCGAATGCTGCTGCCACTTTTTTCTGATTTAAAGAAAATATTGGGATAAAAATATAATTCTGAAGGATTTGCATAAACAGAGCACTTCTTTGTTTCTCGGCAGAAGCTAAAGAAAAAAAAATCTATCGTAATGTAAATCTGCAAAAAAATAAAAGAGCTCAATAAAATCATGATGAATCAGTGAACATTTGTTGTGCGCAGTATATCAGTCAGTCAATAATAAGCTTATGAAATGACAGAACAGAATAATCATTTAATCATCAATTACCATCTCTGTAAAACCATAGTTTCTATTAACTATGGTAAAACGCATATTGCTATTATTACAATACACTCAACAAAATTACTGGATTCTGATTGGACAAGAGGAGTACAATTAAATCCCAAATTGTACTCTGTAGAGTCCCAATTAAGTTGCTTAATTTTGTTGAACGTATTATATAAACAAAAAATCGCACAATCTTCTCGTACAATTCGGAATTTGAAAACTTTCAAAACATCACTCGTACCTATACATTCCGAATTATACTCGAGATCGTGCGATTTCCTATACAAATTTGTAAAACTGCAAAGTTTGAGGGAAGTACATTCAAAATATATAATATAAATTTTATATATAAATTTTCAAAAATCGAAATTTTGTATAAAAACATTCAATTTGTTGAAGGCACGGCTAGCAAAAGTTTTCGTCAAAGATTCACAATTTTAAAACATATCTTCGCGAGTGTTGAAGCCATTTTATTCGAACTCCACATTTTTACTGATTTTAGCATGCTACTTCCACCTAAGATAATTATTTTTCTGTTGAATTTAATAATTTTCGAATACCTGATAAAAGCTCATTATTTAACTTAAAGTATTAATACATCAGGCTCTTTTACTACTTTCAAAAGAAGGAAAAAGGAAGTCGTGTATTTTTTTGTATAAATGACGTCAGAAAATAATGTAAAAGCATTTTAAAGCCAAATATGGCAGACTTAGAAACGCACAATTATTAACTGTCATTTCATTATCAAGATTTAAATCTGCGACATTTTTTACTCCCGTCTCATTTTCACAACTGAACTCAGCTGGGAATCGCACCCAGTCCTCTTGGCTCGTAAGCCGAGCGTGCTCTGTTACACTACTGAGTTTGGGGTGGATTTTAGAGACAGAAAGGCCAAAATACAATGCCAATCAAAAATTTGTTTCCAAAAGTTAACAAAAATTAAAAATCTCTGGCACACATGATAGAAAATCTATAGCGTCTTCAAAATTGGTTGGAAATAAAAAGCGTCCATCTTGGAAGAAGAAAAATCACCAAACATCGTCAATACAGCCGGAAATCAGTGTCATCAATCGTCTTGATAACCACAGCATCTGAGGACATAAACCAAAGCATCTTCGAAAATAGGGCGTGGCATCATGGAACCACGGCATCTTAGAATTAGTTGAAACCAAATATAGTGGTTGTGCTTGTAGAAACCCAAAATCGTAGACGCATTCGTGGAAAACCCAAGAATCGTGGAAGCGTTCGTCGAGAATCCAAAAAAAATGGACGCTTTCGTTGAAAACCAAAAATAGCAGACGCTTTTGTCGAAAACCCAAAAATCGTGGACGCGTTCTTTGAAACTCCAAAAAAGTGGACGCTTTCGATGAAAACCCAAAAATACCAGACGCTTTTGTTGAAAACCCAAAAAATCGTGGAGTGTTCGTTAAAATCCAAAAACGTGGACGCTTTCGATGAAAACCAAAAATACCAGACGTTTTTGTTGAAAACCCAAAAAATCGTGGAGCGTTCGTTA